AAAACAGATGAAAGTAACTTGTAAAGCTTCCACGGAGAAACTCTACCCATAGTGCCTCGATTTTCTGGTTGCACATCACACGTGAATAGCTTGAGTCGATCCAAAGTGTTAGAGTGCAATGAAAAATAGAGTTCAGCCAATTTTCTTTACCTGTATTTTACAGGTGCCATTTCTGTCTGCACCAGTGTGTTTCCTTAACCTGGACTGAGACGTGTCTTGCTTTTGAATCTCGAGACGATTGAAAACGATCGTGTGATTCTTCTATACTGCACATCCATTGGCCTCCCGCACCTAAGGATGCTAATTTAGGGAGATTATCTGGCCTGACCTGGGCAAAATGACAGCGTGGCACAATATTTGGGGACGCCCAGTGTATTAACCAACCAACTTGAAGATCGTCAGGGACAGGCGAACCTCCAGTTGTATGTTCACCATACATTTTATTGACTAGAGTGGCGGTTGTTTGAAGAACAGTGTCTCAGCCATGATATCATTGCTGCTCTTGCATGCCTGTGGAATACATTAAGATTGAGGCTGTTGAGCGGGGCCCTAGCGTGTTACTGCAAACAGTTTGGGTCAAGGTGTCCAAACACTTAACCAGATAACAAATTGTGGTTAACCTCTGTTTCCTTTTCTCCGTTGGCGTTCTTGTAACGCATATCGTTTGCTGAAAAGTTTGTGGACCTCAATTTAGAGACAATCAAGCGTATCCCAGTGAAAAAAACCATCAGTAAAATATCTACTCAGTTGTTCGGTAAGTTGCGGCAATATATGGAACACCGTATTACTACAGTTTTAGCCCATGAAAAAATTAAAAAAAGAACTTCCTCACTAGGCGTTATAAAGAAAAAGGCACAAACAATAAAGCAATGTCGACATTTGGCTTGCAGGTTTCCGGAATTCGCGCCTTGGTATCACATTGTAAGGTCCCCTAGGTTTACGAAAGGACACCTAAAATCATCGTGTGTCAAAATTAATCCGAATTAGCCGAGTTTTTCCTTCATATTGACAGCTCTTGGAGATAGGTCCCGGATAGCTTATCGTTAATGGCATCGCCTTAAGACACACAAACCATCACTCTTTAGTTCTATGAAGATACAACCATATGTGACCCACATTTCACGCCCGCGCGTCAGCCGTTCACCGCGCTGGGACACCTTGTGAATGGTGCGCTTTATGTTATTCAAGTGGTTAATGTTCCATTAGCAAAAATAACGAGGATTTCCACAACTGTGCACCAAATATCAATTAGTAAACGGTACTCAGCCGACTCAGAATGATGCATATGATGAAAGCCCTGGTTCTGGATAATTCAGCATTCGCATCTTATTACAGTACCTGGAAGATCATAAGCTTTACCGTCACCATTGACTGAAAAAGATTTTTCCTACTCTGCGATACCTTTTAAGGACAACAAAATGCCTAGTGAGTACATGCTGCATTATGATCCTTCTGGAAAATTAAGAAGCAGAAGCTCACACTCATAGACCTCACGAACTGTGCTCCATCTGAAGCCTAGTTCACCCCTATAAACTGTACCGCTTCGCGTTTCTATCCAAAAAATGCTAAATAAGATGCTTGGCGTTGCAACCTAAACGTCTTTTATTGCGATCGTCCGGAGTCCATGCCATCCGTCGTCAAAGGTATGGGGATTTCGTCCGAGATTCAAGTATCTTTAAAAAGTCCGTCACGAAAAACATACACTTTATATAGCAGTGCCGTCAAAAGCATCCTAAAGCCTTTTAGAATGGCGATGTTTTGCAAAAGCATTTTTTTCTAAATTAATTATCGGTGTCTGTCTGAGCCACGATGCGCTTAATATCTCGCACCTACAAGAAGCATATATTATGCTATCCCGACACATCACATGTTTTGGAAAGTTTCAGATCAAATGAGGAAGGTTCTTTGGCACGATATTTTACACATCGCGGGCATTAAATCGTTTTCTATTTTGGTTTGCAGCCAACCACTGCACTTCCAACAAAAGCGCAAAATTTTATCGCAGTTGATTTTACCCGCTTGGCTTCCACGCGAACATATATCTTCTTACCGGAAAACGGTACCACAATATCCTAGAACGCTTTTGTGAGTGGAACTGATAGGAAACAACAACTTTAGAGTTCCTAACTCTGATTGTCCTATTTGCCTGTCAGTCGTTCGAGGATTTGCTTAACCCCCAAACCCGTAATTTCCCTACCACCCCTGGGTCCGGCTATATACTGATTGGAGTATTTCTTTTATCAGTTCTCTCCTTGTCCTCCCTTCGGCTGTTCGTACGGACTAAAGTACGCTAGTGGTTAACTGGAACGGTGGGGCAAATTTCGGCTCCATCTTCTTGCTGCAGAATTCCCAGAATCGCTTCCACTTCTCCTGTTTTTGTTCAAGGTACATGCAGATGTCTGAGGGTAAGATGATCAACTAGGCATCAACTGTATCATTGGCGTCGGTGGGTAGATACATATCACTCATCAGAGTTTTTGAATGTGTGTATATCTGGCGGGACGCCTGTTTTATTGTATAAGAACGATGTCCACAAACACTGTATGGTTTAGACCTGGGCGATTTGATTTCGAGGGGTCATTCCAAACTTTTTTTCAGATATCCTGATTGCTTCAAATTAGCAGCAAGCACGTTTCACATATGGTCTTTTTACTCCCGATTTTCCAGTGACACTACAATCACAAAAACGTCCCAATTTTCTTCTGGCAGTGTCACTGAGAACCAAGTATATGGTTACATGCGAATGGGTTCACACACGGTGCTGTGTAAATTCACGGCGAACTAGGGAACATTAATCATCGGCGACAAGCTCTGCATGGTCTCCGTTAATTCTCTACGCACGCAGGAATAACTTGCCTATCCGAGCAAAATAACGACCACAAATCACAGCGTTTCATATCTGAGCTTATGTATACTGGCTCTTCCACACCAAAGACTATTTGGATAAGATTATCTGACCGACTATGCACATGACTGACGCTGACGGCGCTTTCCTTAACGGTTGTTTGACGGTGGGGCACAGATCGTGTCGTTTCTCACATAGAGGTGCTCAAAAAACCCACAGATGGGTCACCATACTATTACATCGAGAAAAAAATACCAAGAACACCATGAGGTAAGGACGTGAGCTATATTTTCACTTTGTTGGGGCTTTTTGGAAGCTAATTTTTGATACCAGCCCCGGGTTCATGGACCTATTTTTGATGAGAACAACCGATGCACTTGCCATCCGGCCCAGAGGTGCGTCAGAATGAACAGAACAAATAATGCGAGACCTTCCATCCTAGAAGCCCACACTTGCATCGGTCGCTTCACTGAATATTCGCTAACAGAAAAGGCTGTCCGAACACCAGGAACTAACAACCTCGTAACCACACACGAGGTCAGGGATAACGCGGTGCCCCCCAAAATATGGGCTTGTCTACCGTACATGATGGTGAATACTAGGGAAAGAATTGTTATGAACGTAACTACAAATCACCTACTTGAATGCCAATTGCGTTACCATCTCAATAAGGATTTTAGCTTGGCCTCTAAAACCCCGCAACTTTTCTCTCTTGAATGAAGAATGAATGCACTGAAGAAAACATACAGGGGAAGCGGTGCCATCTTGACGTCAGAAATGCATATAAACA